TGGACCAATGGATAGACCAATGGATGGATGGATGGATGGACCAATGGATGGACCAATGGATGGATGGATGGACCAATGGATGGACCAATGGATGGATGGATGATCATTGAATCTTACTTCAACACTATCCACTGTTATTGTACCATGCCATCTATCACAACCAGTGATAGATGGCATATATTTCTTGGTTCATAAATAATGTACGTATTTGTTTAAGGAAGCTGGCAGGTTATCTCAGAGTCAATCAATGATTTTTAACCTGAAAAAGATAATGCAACAGCTTTTGGTATTTACTCAATCATATTTAGTTTCTTTAACACAATTTTTTTTTCCTACCCCTAACATTAAACAATTGTGTTAAAGTAACTAAATATAATCAAGTAAATGGCACAAACAGTTGCATCACTTTTTTCAGTGATAGCAGTCGGCGCACCTTTGGAATCATATTTCTGCTATTGCTCACAAAGTTAACAGTATTTGGTCAAAGTTTCCGTCTATATGCCCAAAATGTGTCTATTTAACTCCTATTGAACAGGGAGGCTGTGCCAGTCAAAAACTGATCCAAGTGAGCATTAAGACGGATTGAAAACTCTCCCCTCACTGTGTTTGTTTTTGTTCCAATGCCAGGTGTTCACATTTAACCTGTTTGACTTTCATTATTCATGTTATGCTGTAACTGTGCAAAATCTGCAGGTAAATAAGTAGCCCATTTCCTTCTTACGAGAAGCCCTCGGTCAAACCTGATTTTCTGAAACTTGTTAATAATTACTCACAGTCTTATGCAACTCTCACTGCTATAAAACATCTTGGAATTGATTTTCCTGTTGCAATGCCAGCCTTTTATAATAGAAACCAATAAATCCCTTTAAAGACTAATGAAAAAATAAAAAAGGCTTTTCTTGTAAAAGCACCTTTTAATGATAAGAGCATTACACATAATATTGTCAATATTTGTTCACCTTACTTGGTGGACGTCATTCAAGAGATCATCTATTGTTTTTTTGTGTTTACTGCATCTATCTACAGTTTTCTGACTTTTGAATTTTCATCCACCTGAAGAAAATAAACGCTGGTACGAACTTAGAAAAAGCAACCACGGGTCAT